TTATGAAGAGAAATATACGACTTGGAATATATAACCTCCCCTGAACTACCCGCCACTTTTCCAGTGGAAAGGGTTGCTACCGCAGGAAATACTGACAGCCTTCCAAGTTACATTCGAATACCAATACACCGGGGATTGGAAACTGGACTTGAACTTTGGTCAATATTTGAAGGGCTGAATACGTGGAGAAAGGGTAGATCGATACAGAGCGATTTCGAGTCTGATTTTAAATCGTATTGGAAAATTGATGAATAGCGATTCCTGTCTTGGAGAAATTTCAATTGAAAAAGTTGAAATCACGACGCCATGTCCCCGCCAGAAATGAGTTATTTCAAGTACTTGCAATTATCACGTGATATTTCAGCTTGACTTAACTTAACTTAACACTTACAGGCGAAATGTCACAAATATATTATATAGAATTATATAGTCGTGAATTAATATTAATTAATAAATCTCAATTATTGGGGAGACCATTCTTTCTCATTCATTCATCTCCCAAGATCTCACGAGCGGCGATAGCATTTCTTAGGATGAAAGTTGTGAGATTAAGACAGCAATTTGCCCCTTTTTACTCAACATAATGCCCAGCCCCTACATATAATCTCTCTCGGCATTTTGAGTACTCATAAATCTATGATTAAATTTTTTATTACGTCATTCGTGGTTCTCATAACTATCAGCTATGCGCAATAAGACTTAAGAAGAATGAGCTCTCATCATATTTTATTTTGCCAACACATAAATCCATTGTCTGATGGAATCTCGAAGGTAGGATATTTGATTCAACTTTAAAAAAAAATCCTACCACCCAGTATTATTCTCTCGCCGAAGAGAAATTGATTTTCTCTTGGAAAAATATTGTATTACGGCGTACAAGAATTTTTAACATCCATGATATTTTATCCCTCTTCGTCCTCGTGGAATGAAAATCCGCGCCAGTGTGGAATTCTCCAGATAGAAAAATGAAAATACTCGGGGTTAATCCAGTATTGATGGATCCCTAGCAATTTGAAAAATTATTGTATAGAGTTGGCGACTCAAAGCGCTTTAATTAAACCCATCCAACTTCAAATAATCGTTATCGGAAATTCTTTTCATTCCATTTTTGCATCACTATTGGCAAAGCCACGATTCTCTCGTGATGGATTGTAATGTTCACCGGTGTGACGAGAATTATTAAGTACAATTTACGTATCCATAGCCTGATCTATACACAGGTGATTACGCACTCGATGGCTCATTAATTGACTGTGGAAATGGTCTGTTAACATTTACCAGTGGAACTTATTCTTCTATTTTTTATTCTGAGGTACATTATATAGGTCAGCAGGAGGAAGAATGAATCGAGGTCAAAACTGTGACATTAACCCACACCGGAAAAATAATGCTGCAGAGAGAAATTTATTTTTGAAATTATTCCGCAAGATAGTCTTGAATTTCAGAATTCTAATCTGTCATGTTTATAATTGACAAGTAAAACGTAAAACCATTTGAAATTGAATTGCCAATTTATTATCAAAAATAACTGGAGAATTTGGAATGAAAGAGTAATTCCCCACTTGTTTACATAAATCGCTTTCCGTGTAGAATTCACTTGAAATAAAATTTAATGGCACTGTGTGATTTTACTTCCATTTAATGTTAACAATAACAATTAAATTGCTCTTGACGAGGAATTTTTAATGTATCCCAATTCACTTCAGGGATTTAACAAATCCGGACTCATCTCGAGTGAATATGGTCGGTACATGGTTTATGATAATGGATGGAGGTTGTTCCATCTAGTTTAAGACCCATGAGACACTGTGGCTGACGATTAATGTATCAATAGGCGAATCTACCAAGGCATCGCCAAGACCAAGTCGTGCTATCGATCATTTCGAGAACTAATGATCGGAAATCACTCCAAACTGTTGCATTCCGATGGCCTCCGGTGATCTGCATGGAATCGCCGGATCAATTCATTCCATCGATTGATTCGCCCGATGGTTATATCACTGGAAACATGCAGAAAAATCTAAACGTCAAGTACAAAAACGTAAATCACGGAAATTTTACTCCCATTTTGCGCTATTGAAATCTTAATGGACGTCTCCTTAAGCATCATTTACGATCTCAAACGAATCTAAAAGCTCTTTGAGATCGTAAATGTAACGATGGATATAAAAAATACTTCTCTAGAGAATAGCAAATCTCCGCGCCTCAGATTATTCTGAATCGTCTGAAATGTCAGGACTTACCATTAGCTCTAATTTTCCAATTTCCAATTTCCTTTAACGAAGAAAAAGACTTACTATTATATATTCCCTTTGCAATCTCAAACCGGTTTTTTATTCGCCATTATAAATGACGTTCGAAACCCATAATTTCGGAATTAACAATGTCTCTCAATGCAGTTTCTCAATTTTACGTTTTTTTTTATTTAAATCCCCACATTTTCGGATCGAAATTGAATTCAAATTCACATAATTACGAATTTAGATGTCTTTGCGACTGAAATTTGAAGAAATTTTCAACAGTGCATGCAATATTTCTGCAAATCCTGATGCAAAAAAAAAACATAAAAAAATTCTCTGTTTTTTTTTACAGTAAACAGCCTTTCACAACAACAAAATTTATAATTGCATGATCCCAGAAGCATGTGCAAAGAGGGGATATCCCGAAGTTTGGTAACTCCAGTAGCCTATTAAGCCTTAATAACTTTATTCATGAGATTCACAGGTTAAAATCCCATTCACCCCTCATCATGACAAACTTTTCAATTTCCCTATTCCTCACAGGACACGTCGACATTTTGTTAACGACCTACCAATTCCTTGAACTTCTTAAGAATCGGGAAATTTTCATCTCGTATAAAATTATCCGAAACTCCTCCCAGAATGCTCCCCAAATCCCTTAACATCATTCACCTTTCACAATTTTACGATCATAATTGTTTTCCCTTTCAATCCTGCTCAGTATTTCACTCCATTTAATACTGCAGGTAGACGCAAAAATTCAATTCAAGAAAAACAATCACTTTGCTCTCGCAAAAATTCTGAGTCGATCCCTGAAGGCGGAGTAGAATTCCAATTTTCAAAAAACAAAATAATTTTTTTACTGAAGTATATATTTTTCTATCCTCAATGGAAAATATAATAGATGAAAAGATAGAATAGATATGCGGGTCAGACATTGAGTAGGTAACCACACCCGATAGCTCTGTCACTAATGAAACAGTCAAGGGTGGAGTACATGACGAGGCTGTACTCATTGATTTCGCGGTATTCTCCAGTTGCGAGGTTAATCAAGGGAAAATTAATACTTCAGCTTTTTCCCGGGACTTTCTCAATTAAAAGTACAGACAAAAGCTCAATATTTTGATGGAGAGCACTTCAATGAAGCAAGAAGCATTACCAGGGGTTTTCAACATCGTTTAGTTTGGAAGAGAGCGCCTTTCATTGATTAATTTCATGTCTCACTTCAATTATCCCCCTCCCCCCGAAATACTACACTTCAATTCACTTATTTGAAAGTACCATTAATTCTCGCTCTATGACCCTATTTGTTATAAACAGACGCAGAGAATAATAATAGATTAATCTTTTACGGTTCTATTTTATTGGGGTTTTATCACTCGACCGCAGTGATCCGAAGGAGATTGAGCACTTGGAAGACTTTTGGAAGAAGTCAAGGACTCATCGCTCACTGGCGGAATCATTAATTGATCGTTAATCACGGTAAAAAATAAATTGGAGAAATCATTTTTGGAGAAATAAATAATGCAATTGCACGAGGTATTCATACTGCATTAATTATTTCGCGAATTCTTAGGAAAGAGAAGTTTTCTAGAGATTTTCTACCGATTTCTCAGTTTTGTTTTTCCTCCGAAATTTCAAATGGGTATTTTTCCAACTCGTTGACATTTCTCGTTATTCAATTATTTTCTCTCCCTCCGATTCTTTCATCAATTCCTCAAGTTAAATAGTTTCTGGAACTCGATTGAACGTATTGGTCCAGAATGAGAAGGACAGGAAACACCAGTTGGTAGTACATTAATTTTGTTACGGAGTGGATGAAAACGGATTGTGGTTTTCTAATGTTTGGAGAATGGCTTGTCCACCTGTGTACACAAGTTTATTATTTGTTGTGGTAATAAACACGGGAATGACGGTTTAATCATTGGAAAATCATCCAATCTCGCACTCGTACTTCGATATTAATGAGGTTAGGAAAATGAGTGTCACGCGCAGCCTTTAATTTTCACCGGGTAGCAAATTTAATTCCCCTGAGAAAGTGATTGAACTCAATTATAACGAAATCGTTACACCATCTGAAAACTGCACCAGAATTCCCAGTTTTACTTCCAAGAGGTAACTGTAATCGTTGCAAATTGAGCCCCCAATGTTTCCAACTAAAAAGCTGACAAGAGTTTAAAATATAAAATAATAAAAAAATATACTTATTATATAATACATTATATATTTATCTCTGCATATTAATTTAAAAAAAAATAAAAACAAATGAAGCCCAAGCTGAAAAAGATAACAGTAACATATTTTAATACTTCAGTTGATTCTACGTGGTCCTAAGAAAATGATAAAAATTGAAAACCGAGCGATTGCAAGAATTCGATTGGGAAAAAGGAAAATAGTATAAGTGTTTTCTTTGGATTCTCTCTCCAAGTTATTCAACCGACACGGAAAAAGAAGATATTGGTGGATGAGCATGAGGATAAACCGCGATAGGGTAGGTGTAGGTTGATGCTGGTGTTGCAGAGGGGGCAAAAGGCTAGTAAAGGATTTAGCAATGAGGAGTGAGGGTGCGCGTGGCGATGGCATGAGCGAGGGGTGGAATGACTGTGTTCAGAAGGGGAGAAACGAGGAAGCACGAGGTGGTGAGAGAGGGAAGGTGGAAAAGTGGGAAAGAGGGAAAGAGGGAAAGAGGGATGGAAAAGCACGATGGGTTGAAGCAGCTGAAAGCGTTCCGAGTAGGTCACACCGTCGACCACAGCGGGAGTCCGCATTTGGGGGCTCGACAAGTTCCCGTCGATGACAAACAACTGTCATTTCTCCATCATCTTCATCAACAACAATAAACCAGACTCTGCCAAAATCAAAAACACCCACTGTCACTATTACGTAATCGTCGAGTGTGCAACATGGATGAAAATCGTTTCGAGGGATGAACTCAAAAAATCGGGAAAACGACGGCGAAAAAAACGCAGGAGAAAGTGCTTTGTTTTTTACTCGTGAGGTTAAACAATTATAATTATTTTTTAGTTTATAAATAAACAAAGTGTCTTAAATGCTGGATAGAGAGCTAGAGGTGATATCCAAGTGGAAAAATTTGTTGATCTTTGTTTACTCGATAATTTATCGATAATTGTCGATCGTTGTTGTGTTTTGTCGGTTAATGTCGACGCAATTCAGTTTCCAAAGGCCTAAAGCAGAAAAAAGTACGTGAAAACTAGGATGAAAAGTTGATGTGAATCAAGAAAACTCAAATACCTCAGAATGTAGATGAACTTTAGAGTTGTTAAGTGACAAATTACAAGTGTTGTTATTGTGAAAAAGTTTAGAGGAGTGATTACACATTTTGACGTTGTTGTATTCTTCAAAGTGATTCATACTCTTCTGTGTTTTGAGTGATGAAGACGTGTAATTAGGAAGTGTGGAAACATCAGGTTTCAAGGAAATTTGGTCAGGCATCAACTCGAGACATTTTCGTTGACTCTTCATCGGGATAAGTTTATCCCCATATCTTCCCCCCAGTGAATTTGTGTAAATTTGACAGACAAACGAATCGATTAAGGTCAATTGGACAGATTTGAAAGCCATCGATTAAGTCAAGAGGATTTTCTTGACGGCCGAGGCATCTACTTGGCGTCTGTTTCTTGGGTTCTGCCATATGAAGTTTTTTTCCCCCTCCTTCCAAGGTAAAGACCGGAAGATTGAGCATGAGAAAAAGTAGAATAGCTGTCAGAGAATCGGATAGAGGGAATGATAAAGAGACATGATTATTAGTCTCGCAAGGTCTTCAATGAAGAGAGTGTAAATGGGGCAGTGGTGTCCGGTGGGAATGGAGTGAAGAAAATAGTTGCTGATAAAATCCCCAATGTGCGCTTCAGGCACTCGAAAAGTCCCTGAGAATGTCCTGACCACGCAACACCTCTCTGCCCTCCTGGACATATTCGTGTAGAATTTATGAGACCTGGGGATGTATGACAATTGTGAAATTGCCATTTGTGGTATGATATGATGTCAGGATAACTTTGAAACACACGTGCTTGGATTTGTAATCGAGAGGAAGTGGAAACTCGGCAACGGTTTAACAAATAATCACGTGACTTGGCTTTTGTGCACCAGTTGAAAAGGAAAAAAAGAGAGAAAATAAGTTCGCAATGGAAATCGCTGCATCGGCATTGGATGGACTCAAGAACAATCGGATCGGGAAACTGGCACTCTCGCGATTTCTCTCCCAGAGTCTGTGAGTATTTCTATTGTTTACTGAAAGTTGAGCAATTGTGTTTATTGAACAATCGAATCAATTAAAGGAGGTAAAGTCGTTTATCGGTGAAATTATTCAGCGAGTTGATTTCGACAAATTCGGCGAGATGGGAGATTGAAGAATTCTATCGATTATCATTAATTCACAGTGAACTGATGGAAAATTATTGTTCGATTAGCAATTCATCGATATCAATTTGATTTGTTATTCACAGCAACTCCGCTCTCAATTATTATCAAAAAATTATACTCGCTAATTTTATGCTGTCGGGCCTCTTCCATGTACATTTCTGTTTATCAATCAATTAATTTTTATGACTTCGCAATTCCTAGTCAATGCAAATTTTTTTCTCATTAATCCAAGAACAATCTCAACTGAAATTCACAACTGAATTATGTCAAGATTAATTATCAATTAAGCAACGGTTGTCAGTAAAAAAATAAGGACAAGTCTGTTTTAATAATATTCTCGCATTCATGGCGAAAACGAAATTTCATCGAATGAAAAGTTCTCCATCTGTCACCAAGAAACAACTGTACGGTCTTTTCTCTATAATTTAGAGTGAACTTCCGCGTTCTCACACGAGGAAAAGTCTCCTGGAATAATCCTCTCCCCTCGAGGGATCTGTCAGCGGAGGAAGAAACATTAATTACGAAATTCCCCGAGACTTGGGAGAATATATTAAAAATGTTTTATGCCAAAATGACTCGGTTTTGGCTGACATGAGGAAAAAAAGATCTGCCTACTCGAAGAGGCTGTGACGAGGTGGGAGAACTCAAATGTTTTAGGTTGAAAATACGCTTCCAGCTAATGCACGTACACCCAAGAGTAACGACTCCGTGATGTACATTTCAAAAAGAGTTACCCCCTACCAGAACTACGAAATAAAGCCCCCAGTTCTACGTCACAGAGAGGCGCCCAAGTGCACCCTTAATTCCCCCCGTTCCATATCGATCCTCCTGCCTTAAAAGAAAGACGCAAGTGTACCAAGAAAATAATAAGTACATATAAACAAAAAAAAGTGATAGCACGAGCGGAGGGGAGAAAAAAGGGTGAAATTTCTCCGCACGATTTCCCCCGAGATTTTTCACGTCTCATGGAGTTACAGTTGTGATTTGCCTCTCTTGATTCGATGGTGCCTCCTCTTATCTTATGTTCTTTAATCAGTTCTCAGGGTGATGCGTAGATTTTATAGCAAAAACATGAGAAAAATGTGGAACGAATGGGAAAGAAAATTGCTTCGACGATTATAATAAATTCTACACTGCGATCAGGAGAAAAATGAAAAATTGTTGAGATTTTTCGATAAATAACATCCACTCGCTTGTAACAATTGCATTACAATAACTTTACGGTGAAATTCTTTTAAATGACGGATAGAAATACATCAGCACTTTCAGTTCAAATTTTATTGTCCCATCGCGAATTTATTGATTTCACAATATTTTAAATCCGTGTGTGAGTTCTTTTGAATTCTGTCTGAAATTTTCATAAATTTTCCTTTCTTACTCGGATTCAACGTCAACCCCCCGACACGACTGCTGACTGTTCACGAATCGCCCTTATGTTTTCGAAAATGCAATAAGCCCACCCCTAAATATTTCATATATGCCCTCGGGCTATAAACGCGATATAGCCATTTTCCCTGTCAATTTTATACATGGGTTATCATATAATTTCTCAGGGCGATCCGCCATTTGTTTTCCTCTTTTCCTCATTTAATTCCCTCCTAATTCGTAAAAATGTCTCAGGCGATTCCGTGAGGAAGATAGTGTAATCGAGAACGATGTTGCCAGCGGGAGCTAAGGATAGTGTACAACCAATTTGTATAAAGAGAATGTCCAGATGACCCTCTGGCGAGTCATATAAGTAGCTCCCTCTCTCTCATTTTCACAATTTCATTCTCTCCCTCTTTGTTGCCCTCGACATTCACCTCCCAGAATTTAGGGGACGAGTTGAAGGAATAAAGTAAAACGGCTTGCAACGAGAAACCATTTTCTCAAGTATTAAAAGAGGGTTGTGCAAAACTAGTTGAATTTATCCGAGCGAATTCGTACGTGGAATCGCTATGAGTTCAGCATCGATCCCACGTCTGCCAACAGCGAATCTCCATTTTCTTCTTTAAAAAAAGGATTGATTTTTTTCCGCCTTTTTATTACCGCGGTTTGTTTTTTCGGGAGCAATTGGAGGAAACGTAGAGCGACTTTTCCCGGTGTTTACATTGGATTAGAGGCATGGGGTTGAAGTACCTGGGGAAATGTTTGCTGATGATTATTGTCAGTTGCTTCTTCAGTATTTTCTATGACTTATTCTGAATGCAGAGGGAGAATGACCACATGTTTATTTCAGTAATTATAGTCTCGCGTGAGGGTTGCTCGTTAGTTTGTGGAGGTGATGGGTAAAAATGAGGAAGTAACAGGCATTATAAACGCTAGGATAAATGAATGGAGTTGGAAAAATGGCGAAATTGAAATTCGATAGGGAACGCTTTCGTTTGCGTCTCGGTTATCCGGTTTGAAAGGAAAAAATGTTACAATAGAAATTGTTTTTGCCAGGTGGCATTTTTTTTTTCGACAGTATTTTTATTGCGCAATGAGGGGATATACCGACATGAAAGCAATCGCTTGGAAATAAAAGAGAGGAATGTCCTCGCGTACGAGACGCAGAATTTAAAGGATTTTTTTTTACTCATCGAGGGACTAGCAGAAAATAGGTATGTGCCGCTTCGAAACGGATAGCCAAGTGTATCCAGTACGATAAATATATCCACATTCAGACCGTTGAATCTATCGATATCCGGTACATACATGCCTCGATATGGAAATTAAGTGAGCGGTAAACTAGATAAACAGTTTTCGTTTTTTTTTCCTCCTGAGAATTATTTATGGGGGAGGAAATTTGAGATAAGGAAGTTGCGGAGTTTCTAGTCACAATCTATTCCGCTGCGGCTAGGAACAAGAAAAGTGGTAAAACATTGTGATATTCCGGTGAATGAGAGACGAAAAAAAAAAATAGAGGAATTGAATTTTTGGGGGAAAATGCCTGCTGTGAAATGAGATAATTGATGTGTCCTACATGCTCTTCATCACTCGGTCTCCTGCAATGAGATTCCATTATTGAATTAAAATTCCGGTGTCTAGTGGAGTCCACGTGCATCCGATCGTGGGTGGAGAAATGGTGGACGCCTTTTGAGTCTGACATTTGAGGTCTGAAAGTACCTTTTAGAGGATAATTTCAATATTCCGTCAATTGACTCAGCAATTCACGAGCCAGAGCGAAATTTAATTTGATGTTTTTATTGTTTACTCGCGATATTACTTTTTTTCCAATTTCCAAACTGCTGTTCAAACATGCGAAATTTTTCATACAAAACTGTTTTACTCTTCCGTTTCAGTCATGCGAAAAACGTGGAAAATGGGTGGATTCGAGTTTCCGCAATGTTCCACGGGTTTTCAGTGAAACCCTGAATTTTGTTGGATATCGTAACCGATGGCTGAAAATATTCCGAATATTCAATGTTTCGATCATGAAAAAAGAAAAACATGGAAATTTAACAGCTGTTGAAAACTGAATTAAAACAGTACCAGTGAAAATGTGATCTTCTCTATGAGTGAGTGAACTTATGCGTGCCACAGAAGTTTCATATTTATCGCTACTTACGAGTGATATAGAGCAATGGTACACTCAACTTCTTCTTGCATCGTATATCTACTCTGGCATGGCGAGGGCCTAGAGTTATTGCAATTAAAGTGGAGAGTGCAGTTCATTAGAAGTCTCAACGCTGAATTTTTCCAGGGAATGCCCCGGGTGGAACATAAACTGGACAACAAAGGGGTGGAAAAGATGAGTGTTTTTTGGTTTTATCTACTACTGTAGAGTACTACATGCACTGGTAAAAATTTCTTGAAATGCCATTCATAATCCCGTGTAAAAAACGCTATATACACTGAGGAAAAAAATTACTTTTTCCAAGAATATTCTTCCCACCAGTAATTGTGATCATCAATGTGTAAATATTATGGAAAATATATTATTGGAAAATGGGATAGTTAAATTAATTAAAACAGTTAATAAATTCTAATCACTATTTCTTTATTAAAATCACACGAGGAAGAATACCGTCTGAACTCTATCAATATCTCCAAGAGACTAAAGACTAGCCACAAAGACCGTAAGAACATTCTTCATCAAAGAAAGAACCCTACAATGGTTCCTTGTGAAACCATTGTTTATGTTTATACAAAGTCTGAGGCGACTCCGGGGAGCCCTCCATATCGATTCATTTTTGTAATCATCATAAATCAGTTCAATATATTTCTATGAATTTGAACTTGACATTCTAATATATTAATAATATTAATTATATTAATTATACACACATATATGCCGGTTAAAAACGCATTTTTCATGTTAAATCTATTTAATTTTTCAATGAAAGCTAATTAAAATTATCATAATTACATTAAAAAATGAATTGAGTCATCAATGAAGAATTAAAATTGTTAAAAATATCAATTTTTTTTTACTTGAAATTTTAAGTATAATTTTCCAACAGTGTATTTATCAAGCGTTTGGTCGATTTGTTTTGAATTTTCGATAATTATATCGATTGTATATCAACGATTTAGCGTAATATTTAGGAAAGTCCATGCAAGATGTCATGTATCAGCAGCTGGTTGGTTTGATTAATGTCTCATGTCGAGTGCAGGACATCAGTGTAATTGCGTCTCCCTCCGACTCGGGATAGAGGGCTCTGCACCTGAAGTACAGTGATAAATATAATTCGCAATCATGATCATCCCTTCGCCAGCATACATAGAACTTTTCCTGTCTCGCAAAAAGTCAATCTAATCCCTCCACTTCATTCCTCACGAGCAGAGAATTGATTGATTCTCTGCCATTTTAATCAGCCAGTCCAACCGATTTAATTCATCTCGGGATATTTCCATTCAATTGAAATTCTCTCAATGACCTAATCG